AAAACGTATATCTGGTAAGCGACTGGTATCTATACTATATTAAAATACTACAACCACATAAGACAAATAAGTCAATTAAAAAATGAGCTGTGCCAAACAGCCATAAAAACTGTGAAGCTGAATTATAAATGCAAATGAGGAAATTGGCTGTGAGAAAGATGATCCTAGAAGTGAAAAACTTCATAAAGGAAGTGTCATAGATGTTCCAAATACTTAAAAGCACAAAGGATAAAATACTAGTAAACAGAATCTTAGGTATGTGGCAATTCAAAGTTTAGAAAGGATATTCTTGCTCTGTATCATTAAGTTACACAAGAAAATGGAACGCACTTTTCAAACTATTTTTAAATTTTCCTACAATTCATAACCAATCAATTCTTAAAACATTTTCAAAGGTCTTAACTTTCTTACTTACCCAGACTGCTTTGAAAAGTTTGTTTGCACATCATTTTTAGCTCCCCAATCTACTATAAAAACAGTGCCTGTACAGTGAGGCTGTATTAATCACATTCACAAGAGCATCAAAAAAAATCTACTAAACCAGCAACGTCTCAAGATGGAAATACACTAGTTTAGCTCTTCTATTGTTCAGTTCCAAGGTTCTGTTATGATTTACATGAGTAATTAATTCCCTGTTACTACTCCCAAGTTCTGTTCGTATCTAAGCATTTTTATCTAAAAATGAGGAAAAACTAGGATTAGTGATTAAAGGACATGCCCATAAAGGCAGAATAGCCTGTTGAAGACATCAGGGAAATGAGAGCACTGCTAAACTAATTCGTCCACTGGCATACACAAAGCTGCCCACTTCTGAAAAGCGTTTACTTTGGTTTGGTCTTGTCCTTATAGTTTACAGAGACCTACTCTACTCTCAAAGAAAAATATATCATTTTTTCTGAACCTCACATTAATGATATTTTACAAGCACCTGCATTCAGAGACTAGAGTGCCACTGCAACACTAGTATAACCTAAGTGACAAAGTTTTAAACATTACACGTTGTGGTATAATGTGGTATCCTAAATGGATGGGGTCCTTTAATATAAAAGGATATTAAATAAAACCTAAAGAACTTTGAGTATAGTATAAATTTTAGTTAATAATGTCAATACTGGTTTGTGACAAAAGTACCACAATAAAGTAAGTTATCAATAATGGAAGGTGAATGTGAGGTATACAGATACTCTGTACCATCTTCACAATTTTTCTGTAGATCTAAAACTATTTAAAAAAGTAAAAGGGAGCATAACGGGAGGGGGGATGAGATAAAATTTATTAAATAAAATGTACACTATGTACACTTTCTCTCATACCAAATTAATGCTATTTTTTTTTTTTGGAGAAAAGGTCTTCCTATGTAGTTTAGCCTGGCCTTAAAACCACTATGTAGTCCAGACTAACTTCGAACTCTTGATCTATCCTCCTGTCTAAGCTTCCCCAGTGCTGGGATTATAGGCATGCACCATCATGGCCAGCAATGCTGAGATCTTGTGAGATTTCAAAACAGACATTAAATAGTATTTATAAACTTCCACTACCTAATGTTTTTTAGCAATGTTGTAGGAAACACTTTGACTCCCAAAACACTTTGACTCCCACTTTGTTTCTTGGAAAGAGGAACTAGCCAGTGGGGTCTCCATCCCAGTCCCACTTCCATTTGAGAAGGATCTATGAGTCTGAAATAAGGATCCTGCAAGGAAAGAAAATGTGAGAGCCACTCAGTATCCTAAAAAGGAACTAATTTTATGTTTTCAAGAACATTTCCAAATATATAGCTCTTCGTAATGGAAAGAACACTGAACTCAGAGTGTAAGACCTCAATTCTAATCCTTTTATTACTAACCTGATTATGTAAAGCCTTTTATTCCTTCTGACCTCAGTTTTCTCATATGCAAAGAGGGCCAAAAGGACACACAAAATATGTTTCAGCCAAAAAGTTTTAACCTGATTATTTTTCTCAAAAATTTAAAGAATGGTAAAAGTAGCTGTTGCATAGTGAAATATAATGCCTTTAATAAAGATCAAAAAATATTCATCAGCTGGATGTGGTGGCATAGAGTTTGTAATCCGAGAATTTGGGAGGCTGAGGCAGGAGGATTCTGAGTTGGGAGGCCAGCCTGGGCCATATAGCAAGTTCAAATCCATTCTGGACTTCAGAAACCCTGCCTCAAAAAACATTTTTTTTTTAATTAAGAGTTTGTTTTTAAAGGTGCAGGGAAGGTGGGATGAGTAGGGGAAGGGTAATAAGGGAAAAGAAAAAAATGTGAGATAATGAAAAGATGGAAATTAAGTATTTGTAGATGGGGAGGGGAGGAAGGGGTGAAGGGAGGGCAGGGGTAAAGGGAAAAAATGAGAATCAAGACTTGTCATGTGGAGGTACAAGATCCCAACAATGAATGTAACTGTACTGTATCCCTAAAATGTACCAATAAACTCAATTAAAGCTGAAAAAACAAATTAAAAAATTTAAAAAAAAAGTTTGTTTTTAAACTTTTGGCCTATTAAATATTTATATCAAGATACACTGGCTTAAAGAAAATACATATGCATTATACCCACTTAGCTCATCTAACTTAAATTTCAAGATATGTGACTTTTATTTTAGAAATACACAGGGACTGGTTTCCTTTTTTTACCAAAATCAAATCATACAAAAGTATATCTACCAGTATAATTCAAAAACAATTCATTTCAAAAGTGTTAAGCTTCTTTTGGATTCATCTTCCTTCCAGTTTGATGTATTATCAATTATCTAAAGCACACAAATCAATAAAACAAAATATGAAATTGACCACGGCAAGTTTTTAACAAGTTTCAAATTAAATTTCAGTCATTTAAGAATACTAAATTACTTGCCTAAAGTATATTTTAATTCTGCCATGGTTTCAAATTTCACAAATCTAAAAACTGTTAAACTGTAATAAACACAGTGCTGAAATATAAACCAGAAAATACAGGCTTATAATGTGTAGCAAATATTCTAATAATTATCAGCAGTTCATTTATAATATTCACTTCCAAGAACAACTAAAAGTGGTTAACAAAAGTATGTCCCATTAATACGATGTTAATCTCTGGTCTTTTAAAAATATTTTATAAGTACTATTAAAAATAGTGTTTAAATAATGCAATAACAAAATGAAAACTATCAAACTGAAACACATTTGTATTACTTCACTTTCAGGAAACTACAGGTACTGTATTTTTGACCCACCTATAACTGTCCTGAGTTATTTTCCCAAAAAAGTAAAAGAAATCATACCACAATAATATATACATACATGGCTACAGGAGCACAATGCACAATAGTCAAAGTATAGAAGCAGCCTAGATGTCTAACAAGACCAATGGATAATGCAAATGTGGTATATTTACACAATAGAGTATCATTCAGCCATTTAGAACAATAAATTCTGCTGGGTGTAGTGGCACACACCTGCAACCCCAGCACTCAAGAGACTAAGGCAGAAGGATCAGAAAGTTCGAGGGCAGCCTGGGCTACATAGTGAGCTCAAGGCCAGCATGAACTACGCAGTAAGATTCCCTGTCTCAGGGAAAAAAAAAAGATAATTCAAATCATCTGACGTTACGTGGTCAACCAAATCAGAAGCAGATTAATTACCACATGGTTCTCTTACATTAGAAACCCCAAATACAAATAATAAAGGAGAGACGGTAGGAAACAGAAGTCAGATTCTTGTGGATGGGGAAGGTGAGAGAAAAAGAGGAGGGGAGAGTTAGAAGAGGAAGGGAAACAGGATCAAAAATATTCAAGATAAAATATACAGTATATGTATCAATTTCCCTAAATGAATGTAATTATAATGTATTGCAAACACATACCAATAAAAAAAAGTAGGTACTAAGCACAACTCTTCAAAAAATATGGCCCCATTCACAAGCACATGGATTTCAAACAATACAGTAATTAAAGTTATAACACTAAAATATCACTTTTAAAATAGTCTTTGTTTTGCTGATTAACTATGCCAACAATACTGAAAAATTTCTCCAAAGCTGGAATTATTAAAGATTTTATCATCTACCATACATATACACATAATATTTAATAGACATGCAGAACGTATCCTGAGGCATTACCCGAAAGTACTAATTGCAACATATATTCAAAGCCTTCTATCTTAGTACACATAGGTTTGAAATTTTCATTTTATTAAGCAATGATGGCATGAAATATTAAATCACAGTTCTATAACCTAGTTCCAATAAAACTAGAAAAGACATACTACCTTTTTAAATAGTAAAACACTTAATTTATTCACATTTTCAAATGGTCAAATTTTTAAAGCTTCAACGTTAATATTTAATTTGAAAGTCTGTGCTCAGAGGACACCTTTGTATTCAGTATAGGAGAAGTTGAACAGCTTATCTAAGAAACCACTTGTTCTTCAATTAGCTTTCACCTTGCTCTACGATTTTAATTTGTCTGCACTGCAGTTTTTCACTTAAATGAAAAAAAGATAACATAGGTAAGAATAATCACCTATCCCTCCTAGAGCAATCGTCCTCTGGTCATTAGTCTTCTCCTCCCCCACCCATGTCAAATTGAGTCTGAGAACTAGATCCTGCCCCCAACCCGACACAAGAGGCCTCTAGGCGCGACCCCCTTTGGTACCCAAAGCTGACACCCGCCCACCTTGGCCTCCTCTCCTTCCCCCAGCACCTTCAACCCACAACTCTGACCTACACCAGCAGGGCCCTGCTAACGTGCCCGCGCCAGAGCACCCCGCCACTAGCCGTCTGCGCGCGGCCAAAGCGAGAACACGACCATCCACCCGACTGCCGTCCCAGGCCCTTAGAGTCCGCGCGGGTCCCACCCGAACCCTCCCGGATCCCAGGCTTTGCTCCACAGGGAGCGCAGTGCTCAAGAGAGCGCGCACCGGCTTCTCCCACAAGATGAGTGCCCGGCCACCAGGAACAGGCGGAGGGGTAGTGCCAGCTCCGAGCGGGAAAGCAAGCAACCCGTCCCAGAAACCGACCTGTGGAGACCGCCATCTTCTCCTACAGCCCGACGCAGCCGCCCGAACGCACGGAACGTCACGCGTCACTTCCGGAAACGCGCCGCTAGGTGCGCGTCATTTGAGACCCCGCCCACAGCGGCAGGCGCTGCCGCTGCCGGAGAGGTGACAAAACGCACGTGTACTGAGCCTTCGCCGCTGGTTGCACAACTTCGTGTAATTATACAGGTCTCTCGAAATAAAAAGTTCATAGGAGGGTTAGTGGAGAAAGTTGAATCAATTTCCAAACAATAGAGCAAAAGACAGAGAAAACGTTATAAAAACCATATGCAGAAGGGATGTAATCGGTGAGCGGCAGTGGCCACGAACCACAGGAGCGCGTGAGCAGAGAAGTGCGACGAGGAGATACGCGCCAATTTTTCAACCTCCGTAGTACGATTACAAACACAAAAAAAGGAAACAGGAAAACCTCTCAATAATGTTTCACAGATATTAAATAGTGATACTCTTTGAACAAAGCTGAATCACACAGAACAGGTTATTAAAATTTTTTTTAAAAACAAAATCTGTGTTAACAAACTATTCCAAAGGGGGACAGTATATTTGAAGAACCTCTAAGAATTAAGCAAATTTATTGTCTTTTTTTCTTTCAATATATGCATAATAATGAAACATGATTAAAATGTATGGCTAAGCCTCAAAAGATCATTCAAAAAGTATAAAATAAAAATTGTAAGGAAGCCTTAGGTCATTTAAAAAGGTTTTTGGTCTGTAATTTTCAATGTTACTACGTAACGCACGGCTCAATAGCTGTTTCGCAAGCTGAAAATCAATATTTGATATGATCATGCTTGTGTTACAAAAGGGAAAAGTGGGGCCAAGGGTGTAGTTCAGGAGTAGAGTGCTTGCCTACCATGTGTGAAGCCCTAGCTTCTGCTCTAGTACAGTACGTCCAAAAAAAAAGGAAAAAATGAACCCCAAAGAATTGAAATGAGTTTTCTAAGAGCACGCATCTACCAATATGTTTTGAAAACGCTGGAATTCTAATGCAGTTGTGATTGCAAAGTTAATGCTGTTTTCATCCTTAGTTTCCATTACTATGTTAGTTACGATTCTTAAATTGTTATAATGGTACCTATAGTCTAAAGCTTTTGATTTTACAATAATCATTATGCAGAGAAAGGGTAATTACTACAGGGGTAGAGATTCTTAGTTCTTTCAGTTCTGCTTATTGGCTCCATCTCTTTACATATCTCTGGCTTTGAAAAAGGAAAGACTCCTTTAATTGCTGCGTGTAGAATTTCCTAAGTATTTTTCTCCCAGGTGATCCTACTTATACACCCTAATGTTAAGTGACTCTATGGAGCACTCTTTTATTATTTGTACAATATAGTTCAACCTGGCGGCCTCTAGGATGGCCCCCAAGGTCCTCTCCTGGTACTTATGCCCTTGTCTTTTTAGTTTTGGGGTTTTTTTTTTTTAATGTGTTTGCAATTTGGGAGATTGAACACCGTGCACTCTACTACTCAGCTATATGCCCTGTCTTGTTCACAAAAATCAAATAGGTTGATGCTAGGTGTGTGGCTCATGGGTAGAACAAGTGTTTAACATGTGAGAGCCCAGGGTTCAATCCCAGTACCAAATAAGTAGTCCGGTTAGAAAATTGTTGCATAATCTATGCTAAGCTTAAGGTCTTGCAAATGCATTGGAATGACTATTATTTGGGACAAAATGTGTAGCTCAAGGCTTACTGCATACAAGGCCTGAGGTCAATCCCCAGGATACCCCCACTGAAATAGGCTTAGTAAAAATTTGCTCAGTATGAAATGAAATTGTGGAAAGGAACAAATCAAAAGACACTCTAAGTGTTAGAATAATCAAGAGCATTTTAATGTTATATCATTGCCTTTTCTCTTTTACTTTCTTTTTTAGTTTTATTTTAGGATTCCCTATTTTTAATGTTCATACAGAGATTTCTTTAACTGAAATACCAAATAGTTTCTTTGGTGTGAAAAACTATAATAGTACACAGGATCCTAATGAGATAATTAATATGAAATAGGAAGTAAAGGGCTAAATGTGCAGGGAAAGTGGGAAGGGTGGGGGAAAGGTAATAAGGGAGAGGAAAAAAAATATGAGAAACTGAAAAAATGGAAATAAAGTATTTGTAAATGGGGAGGGGAGGAGGGGGTGAAGGGAGGGCAGGACAAGGGGAAAAAATGAGAATCAAGACCTATTATGTAAAGGTACAAACCCCCAATGATGAATGCAACTGTATTGTACACCTAGATTGTACCAATAAACTCAATTTAAAAAAAAAAAAGAATAATCAAGAGCAGTGGACGTGAAGTCTGGTATTTGGGAAACAGGTCAGCACCAGGAAGAGGGTATCTTGAAGTACTCCAGAAAGGCCATGGTGAACAGTGGATGCCAAGTGCTCCTGTTGTTTCCCACCACTGCTTATTCAGCTCATCAGCGCACACTGGAGAAAGATGATGGATTTGAATCAGGAAGAACAAAGTTCAACCACTGCTCAGTTTATGATCTTGACAAATATGCTGAATCTTTACTAATGTATTTCCTCATCAGCAAAATAAAAATAATCTTAAAGTTTATTCTTAGCACATTTAATGTAGTGTTTGGCCCATCCAGTGTGTGCCAGGAACAGGAAAGAAGACGTTACCGGAACCCCTGCAGTGGGTCCCCTGGTCTTCTGTGAGCCATGAAAGCATAAGGTGAATTAAAGAATAAAGACAGGAAATGAGACTTAGAGAAGCTGGATTCTGGGCCTGATCAATGCTGCTCTGGGCAGCAAAGATAAAGACACATGGAGCTTGACACTATTTATTGGGTTCATAGGTAGTAACAGATGACTCAGAGGGTGGCAGTAATTTTATGACCATAAGGATCATATGCTGATAAAGATCTTAGATCCATGAGAAGTTTATGTTGATTAGACGGGTACAACAGTAGGTGGGAAGAGTTAAGCTGATAAGAAATTTGTTCCTCCCCAGGTGAAAAGAAACCTTTCTCTTACTAAATGGTTTTCAAGGAACCAGGACTTCTTCAGCCGATGTAAACTTTCCCTTGAGTATCACAACATCACGGGACTTTTGAGGTCTCAGCTGTGACCAAAGGCAAAAATTGGAGTTATATTTTGGTGTGTCATAACCAGCCAATAGGCAAGAAGACAAGGTCTAATCCTAATTTAATTGTGAAGTGATTTTTTTCCCCAAATTATGTTGAATGGCTCTGGACCAATAAATGATTGCAATTATAATGACTTGATCCCAAGAGATCTTTCTACTGCTAGGCTTGTTTTTAATAAATACTGAGAACTGAACCCAGAAGAACTGCACCTCTGAGCTAAATCTCCAGACATTCATTCACTTATTTTTTGTTTGTTTGTTAATTTTTGAAACAGGGTCTCACTAAATTGCTCAAGCTGGACTCAAACTTGCAGTCCTGCCTCAGCCTACCTCACTGCTGAGACTACAGGCATGTGCCATCATGCCCAATTAGGCAAATCCTTTTTCATAAGAATTTTGAGTTTTCCTCTTGGCTCTGGCTGTTACGAAACTCAAAGCCAAATCAGTAGCACATCTTTAATAAATATTTAAGATATATAATGAATATACTGAATTCACCCTTTCAACTCACTTTGTTAATTTATTTCTTTATCATATTTTATACTTTTTTACTTCCTTATCATAAAGCTTAGTATATCACTATTCCTACAAGTTTTCCCTTTGTTTTTGGAAAGCACGGTATTATTAAATGATAAGCTATTTTTAGGCCTTTGATATTTATTTTTTGTTGATTTAAAGGTTTTGTATTGTGTCATACACTCTGTCTTCATATACAAGTGGGCCTTTGATATTTATAAAACACTGGATAATTGAAACTTAGTATGCCATTTCCTAATCCCTTTCTTTTAAAAGTTCCCAGTCATGTTCTACCAATGGAAGACACCCTAAACTGCTGTCTCCTCAAGCTGACTAATAGCCTCTACTAATAAGCATCATATATTTGCAAAATGCCTCTCCACCCGCTACAATCCTTCCCCATACAGAAAACAACTAGTTGAAGCAGGAAAATAAGAAAGATGCAGGAGAGGGCATGTGGACACAGAGGAAAGTCAGAGAATCCCATTAATGCCACTTTAAAGGAAGTAAGGATCCCCTGACTCAGGCCTCTCCCTTCCAGTTGACAAAACAAGTATCCCTTCTCCCAATGAGTAGAGATACAATTCCCGCGAAGTTCTTGTCTGTGATGGACACACCCACAAAGTGCACTGTGATCCATCCCTCCTGGAGTGTGTGACCCTGTGGGATCTACCATCCTTCTTTGAGTGTCGTGGGAAATGTAATGTTTCTTTAACCTACAAATGGCAAAGTGATGGGAAGCCATTTCTGCAATTGCAGTACGTTATCAGAATGCCCGTCCCGCAAGGAAACTCTTTTCTTTGGTGGGTCTGAAGCTGCTGTGATGTAAGTTTACTCTGGAGAGGGCCATGTGACAAGAAATTCTGACCAACCAGCAAGAAACCGAGGCTCTCCGTGTGACAGCCTGCAAGAAACTGACACAACTTGGAGGCATTGTATATATATCTCAGCTGCTAACACCTGCTAAAGTCAACTCCCTCCTCCCTTAAGCCTTGAGATCAGACCACAGCCCCTGAACTGGCACCTAGATCACAGCCCAGCCAAACTCAAGAGTCCTGCCTCATAAACACTGGGAGAATAAACCTGTGTTTTTAATCACCGAGTTTGTGATATCTGGTTATGCAGCAAGGAGTAACATGGTAATCTTATGGTAAGTCACTATGTCTTAACAGCCTCCGTCAATCTGTCTTCCTCATGAAGGACTCTAACAAATGAAGTATCTAATCACTGTGAGGAAAACGCTAGTATTATCAGCAAACTATTAAATTCTCTCTGAGTTTTTCTTAATTCTAGTGACATTTTAAGAATTATTTTACCTTATTTTATTAGTTATACAGATTAATAGCTTTCATTTTGGCATATTTATAAATGCACATAGCAGTCCTCGATCATTTTAACCCCTTCCATCATTCTCTTGCCCTCCCCTC